ATGGACGCAAAAAATATAGAATAAATGAATGAGGAATAGTCAAGGGAGGCATATTACCTTGTAGTAAAATAAGGCATCACCAAGAATTGAATAAAAATATTGTTTTTAATTTTAGTGAGTATTAACTATTAATAATAATCGATTTTAGTGAGATTAACTATTAATAATAATCCATTTTTGTAAATTTTGAAAAGTTGAATCATAATCCGATATTAAAAATCTCCCAACGGACAAAACCGATCATTATCTATCAGTCTATAAAATTGCATAAAATTTCACCAAAAAAAAATGCCTTTCTCATCTTCGTCATATAAGTACGTCCTTTTACGCACGTAGTCACGCTCTGCAGGAAAAAAATAAAAAACTCTTTGTTGATATCTGCATCCTTTTCTCTTCAGTCTTTACAAGCGAAGATAAACACACATCCCGTTACCGCACTTACCAATGGTATGGTAAGCATTACCGCTACGTCGAATTACGTCGGCGTGTTCTGTAAAGGTCACCTTGAAAGCGTTTATGGATCCCCGTGTCCGATGGATTTACAGGCGTCCAACGCAACGGTGTGGAATCAGCGTAAGTTATGACAAAAATAGTTTTTTTTTGCAGGATTAAGCTGTTGGTTGGTTCATTAAGCCAATAATTTTCGTTTATACAGTCTTAAAGTTTTTAGAGTCTTAAATAAGTGTAAATATTTTAAGGGCTGCTAGATCTCAATAAACGAAACATATTTTCTGTTTCGAGTTATTCAAGTTTGAAAATTCTAAAAAAATTGATTTATCCTAGCCGGTTAAAAAATACTATTTTTTTAACCGGCCAGGACAAGACACGAAACACACTAGACTATCAAATCTATTTTTTATTCTAGGTTCGTTGTTTAAAAATGAGTGTTTTTAACACAGCCATGGCACTCCAGATTGAAATTTAAAGTACGATTTTTTTTGGAGCGAAAATGTCAAAAGTTGGCATATGATTTGTCATTCTATTAAGAATGTCATTTTCTATCAAACAAAGTAAAAAAGGTACCAGGGCTCCATTTAAAAATTATAAAAGTTTTAGTCACTCACTATATGATTCGAAAAGTCTCTTTTATCTTTCATTATAATTTTTGCTTTAATAGTGGAAAAACGAAGTGTTGTAAAACATAGGCAAAACATAAACTTTTTACAAAATTTAAGATATATATATAAACGGGATTTGGTTTAAGTATTTAATACTCATTTCCAACTACAGCCTATTGCTGCCTTCCCGTTACCCTACGCCACACATCTCGATTTAGAGCGTCATCAGCTTCTAGGTTACGAGCTTCCATTGTTTCCGTAACCGTTCCGTTCCAGGATTTTCTAGATCTACCTCTCTTTCTTCTGCCCTGGGGAGCCCATTGAAAAACTTTTTGGCCACCTGTTCCCCGGCATACGCAGAACATGTCCAAACCAATTTAAGCTGGATTTTTCGATTCGATCCAGTACTGTCTCCGCCGATGCATTCATGATACGCCTGACCTCGATGTTTGTCTTTTTTTCCATCCTAGATATACCTGCACTTCTTCTAAGGTAGTCCATTTCAAAAACTTGGATTTTGCGCTTCGCGTCTGCACTCAGAGTCCACAGCTCTGAACCATAGCAAAGAACTGACTCCACCAATGTTCTTCCAAGTCTCTTTTTAGTTGTTGCAGATAAGTTTCGGTCCCACCAGAGGCTGTTAAGACATCCAATAACTTGTTTGCTCTTCTGAATTCGGGTTTGTATTTCTTCTTTGCCAAACCCTCGTTGTTGATAGTAGCACCCAGGTATTTAAATTTGTCTACTTGTTGAATCTGGACGTTATCATTAATGAAGACTTCAAAACAAGCGTTGGAATTGACAGCTAAGTATTCGGTCTTCTTTAGACTAACCTGAAGTCCCCATTTGTTGTATTCTTGATAAAGCCTCTTAGTCATGAACTCTAGATCGTATGAGTACTGCGCAATCACGACCTGATCGTCTGCAAAGCTCAGGGTAAATAGTGTGTTGTCCTCAATGGGTATTCCCATACCTTGACATTTCGTCTTCCATTCCCTAAGGACTACTTCGACGTAAGCGTTGAAGATCAGAGGGAAGATAAGCTGCATCCTTGTCGCAACCCTTTTGTGGTGTTAATTGATTAGATAGCCTGTGTCCTATCTTAACGTACGATTCATTTTCTTTATATAGCTCTTTTATTATCTTAAGCAAAGGTCTATCTACTTCTAAGATATTCAATACTTCCCATATCTTGCTGCGGGGAATAGAGTCGTACGCTTTCTCCAAATCAATAAATAAATTTATCCTCCGCCACAAAATTTAAGATATTTAAAAAAATCGTTTTGTGAGACCGATACGCCTAATGATATTTTGAATGACTACATGCCTACTAGCCTACTATATTATTAAGAACTGTAAAAATGTGGAAAACATTCATCTAAAATAAGATATAATCGCATATACAGGGTGAGTTTCCTACGACGTTCTCTATGGGTATCTCGGAAACTACTGAAGATAGAGAGTCGGTTAAATGGGGAAAGAATTGCAGTTTTGTGGGGTCATAAATATGCGCCTTTCAGATTTTTGAAAAAGTGCATGGCTTACTAGATATTTCGAAAAAAACAAATTCCGGCTATTTTAAAAATTGTCCCTAATTCCATTATAATCTATTTTAGACAAAAAGTTTTAAGATAAAAGTTGTAGATAATCACATTCTTATTGAGATTGTGTCTTCCGCTTTTTCTTAAAGCCTGCCATTTTTGACATATGATACAAACATATGTTTTTTTAAATGGAAACCATAGTTGGCCATGACTTCATAAAAAGCGCCATTTTTTAAGCTTTTTAGCGATATATGCTATAATATGTTTATTTCAAAAAATTACTGAGTTATAGCCAATTCTTATCATTTTTAAACAATTTCACTTAGTTAGCCATGGAAACAAGTTCAATCGCTGTTGCGCTCAGAAATGTGAAACGTCACATCCAAAGATATTTAAACTGTCACATCCAAATTTTGTAAATTAAAATAAACAAAAATTGTAAATATGAATTTTTCAAATGAAGAAAAGCGTGTAGATACTCGCGCATCAATAGAGTGGTTCCAAAATGACTTTCATTATGACCCCCCTCACCCCCATAATGAAAGAAATGTTAAAAATTATTTTTATCATAATTATGCAGACTCAAGGATAGGAAGAGGTGGACCAATTGCATGGGCCTCCTCCGATCACCTGGCCTATCCATTTTAGATTTTTTTATGCGGTATGATTAGCAAAATAAAATTACACTAAATCACCACAATACACCAAAACACTTTTACTTTACACTGGACGCGCGTTTCGCTAACCATGTTAGCATCGTCAGCAGATGATTATAAACTAAAGTACAATCTACAAGTTGAGCGTTTATATACTCGCCCAGTAGGTACCGAGTGGGCGTGTTGTTCATGAATTCAATATTATTTTTAACTGAGAAAGAAGGTTCATGATTAGGTAAATTCTCGAACTCCCTTGATAACCATTTTGCCAAATTATAAGTCGGAGAACCTACAGCCGAAACAATTGGGCGCATAGACTTGTCCGGTTTATGAATTTTTGGCAAAGCATACAATTTTGGTAATGAGGGATTGGATACTTGCAATTTCCTCTTTAAATAAAGATCAATAAGGGTGTTACATTCTTTTAGAGTTTTTTTTAACGTCTGCTACCATCTTAGACAAAGGATTCTTTTTCAAATTTATGTAGGGGTCATTATCGATTAAGTTGTTAACCTTATCGTAATAGTCTTTTTTATCTAATATAACAACCTTATTTCCCTTATCAGCTTTTAGGTAGAAACAATCTTTGTTACGCAAACTCTTGACAATATTGTGCTCCTTGTTAGATTTTAGTGATTTACTTGAAACGATATTTTTTGATAACTGATTTCTACAAGCCTCTCTTGTAAATGCTTTAGAAGCCTCGGGCAAGTGCTGAATAGCAGTTTCAACACCAACGACGATTTCCTCCAAAGCGCTACCAGAGTTGGGCAATGCAAACTTTAAACCTTTGTTTAATAAACTGAGCTCTTGTTTATCAAAAGTCTGCGAAGAAAGATTCTCTACTATGTTTATGTCTCTTTGGAAAACATGTTTGTTTTTAGAGCTTTTTAATTTTTTAAACTTATTATTCAAAATGGACATTTTCTTAACAAATTATGAATTGATAACCACAAACATATTTCTCTGAAAGAGACACCAACATTCATACTCTACATTAGTTAGCTTATAAGTAAGTTTTTTGTCAAGTCCATAGTTCCCACTTTCCAACGAAAGATATGAAATAGAAAGAGATTACATTAGGAATGTAGCTGAGTGTAATGGATATTCTCCTTCGCTAGTTGATAAATTAATTAGAAAACGTAGGTATAGGTTAATGATTTCTGAAAATTCGACTTTTCAAGTGGAGAAAGTATATACGTCTAAATATTTTTAAAATACCGTTTGATAGAGAGTTATCCGTGGTCTAAAAGGAATTTTTAAGAATGTCAATTATAAACTTGTGTATAGTGCTAATAATAAATTACAACAATTATTAGGTAATCCAAAGGATAAAACACCTCCACTGGAAAGGTCAGGTATTTATGAAATTTCTTGTAAAGATTGTAATCAGAAATATGTTGGGCAAACTAGAAGATCAATATTCACTAGATTTAAAGAACATTTAGCTCAGATAAGATATGGTAGACCGGATAAATCTTGCGTTGCCGAACATATTGTTGATAAAGAACATTGTATAGATCTTAATAATTTAAAATTAATTAAACAAGTCTCAAATTACAGGCAATTAGATGCATATAAAAGCATCATATAACGCATTTCGTGAATGTCGAGGTTTTCCCGAACTTCTGGATTTCCTGCCGAGTCGGAAAATTTGAAGTTTTCCGGACAATTGCACCACTGCGCGGCGACGCGACGCCTGCTTCGATTATATTGAAGTTTCCAGCGTTTCGAACGGATAGTCGGCTGTAAACATACGCGCTATATCGTACGCTTCAGGCTGGTCCTGTTCCTGAAAAACACTGAAAAATTCCCGGTTTCCTCTAGTCAAAATGCATTTTTAAACGAATATTTTGGTTGGGTATTGCAGAATAGGTCGGGTTTAAGTTATAATCGAGGTGAAATAGAAGTATTAATAAGGTAGGATGGAATTTTTAATAGATTTGTTTGACTAAGTCATTATAATCCAACACCTGATTTAAAATATTTGAACAATACATTTCACACTTTTTTTTTTAAATATAACATATGAATGTCTCATTTATTTTTTAATATTTTAAAATAAAAAATGCATTATTTTTAAGCGTTTATGCACGACCTATATAAATATTATAGAAAATATAATACATCACAATATGGTTAAATATATTAAATAAAAAAAAAATTAAAAATAATAAAAATATTTCCTTACTTATTGGTAAACTCAAAGAAGTATTCCAGATTTTGTAAATGTCATGACCTAAGTAAAATAAATTTATTTTTTAATATATTAAGAACATGAATATTTATTAAAAAATTGTGTCCATTTTTTTTACTATAAATATGCGTCACTTTTGGATGAACCATATTTTTTTCTGCATATACATGAAATTTATAGAAAAAAATCATTGCATATTATGGTACATTAAATTTACTTTGAAATAAAAAAGTAAATATAAAAAACAATGTTTGTTTATTTTTTGGATAAGCCGAAGAAATTTTCAGGCTCGCCCAAGGTCGTGACCTTTCAGGAAAGCTGGTGAAATAGAAATTGCAGGATCTTAAATTACAGGATGACCTAATATTCCAAAATATCAGGTTTTCTATTCCAATCATTTTTTCCAAAGTTTATTAAACGAAATGCTCTGCATTTTTTTCGCTCAGGAGATTTTCTAATAAAATTTGCATTCCAAAAATGTCATAATGAAGTAAAACTATTTTGAAAATAAAATCTTTTTTATGTTTAAAAATTTTCCAAAACTAAAACGAAATAGCCAATTCTTCATTCATTTTTTTTAATTGAGAATATTTTCCCCAGTGTTCTTTTCAAATCTAAGGATACTAAAATATACTCTATTATGATAGTGTATACAGCATTAGTCAAAACTAGATGAGTTGTATGTGTAAACCAGTTTACTGATATTGTAACCCGTTCAGTATATCTACATGCATAATGTAGGTACGTGCGAATTCGCATCTTTGCGAATATTGCACAATGTGGCTTAAAAATGACTGAAAGGATGGTTAAAATAATTGATATTATACAGGATGAATCTTAAATAAGTGCAAATATTTTCACGGCTGGTAGATCTTGATAAAAGAAACATATTTTCTCCTTGTCGTTTTTCAAATAATTCCAAAATAAACGAGTTATTTTACTTTAAAAATTAAAAAAAAATGTTTTTTGTTTAAATTTTGATAACCACTGGACCATTTCTGGATTTTCCTTCTTGTAAATTTAATATATTACCTATGTTATATGTATTATCAAGATATTGTTTTTTAACTAAAAAAAAAATTACAAAAAATTTCAAATTTTCAATTTTTTTTTTCGCAAAAAAACTCAATCGTATTTCTGGGGTCGAAATATACTACCCCTAAAAAATTAAAAGTTTTAGTAATTTCCGGTGAAACAGGAAGTGGCTGAAACTAACTGAATACGTCAGTCAACAGAGAAACACCCGGTATAGGTGTTCCCTTATTCTTTGCCACTAACTATATGATTAAGTGTTGAAAAACATAGGCAAAACATAAACTTTTTAAAATTTTTTTGACCTTTTCTGGATTTTCTTTCTTGTAAATTTAATATATTACCTATGTTACATGTATTATCAAGAAATTATGTTCTTTAACTAAAAACTAAAAAAAATTACAAAAAATTTCAAATTTTCAATTTATTTTTTGCAAAAAAAAACTCAATCGTATTTTTGGGGTTGAAATATACTACCCCTAAAAATAGCTGCACTTATTTAAGACTCACCCGGTATGTTACTTTGAAATTTTATAATAATAATAATAGTAATAATCTTTTGCGTACCGTTCATAAAATCAGCGCAGATATTAGAATTATAGAATATATACAGATATTATAGAATGACCTTTGGTACGAGCAAATGTCAGACTGTTTCAATCATAAGAGGAAAACTATGCGAAACACCAGAATTGAATCTAGATGAGAAAACAATTATCTCCTCAATGTCGACTGAGCCGTATAAATATCTTGGAACGCTACAAACACACAAAATAGAACATGGAATTATTAAAAACCGCCTATCGACCGCCTTCCGACTGCGACTTCCCTCCCTTCTAAAGACAGGTTTGAATTCTAAGAAACTCTTTAAAGCAATAAACACTTACGCCCTACCGGTTCTTACATATTCTTTTGGAATAGTCAAATGCACCCATACAGATTTGGAATCCCTAAATCGCCTGGTACGAACAACCTTAACCAAATTTAGAAATCACCACCCAAGAAGCGGAACAGATGACCCTCCCTCGAAATCTTGGAGGTAGAGGTTTACTGGATGTTGTTAATGTCTGTCGGTAGCAACTTTTATACCAAGAACAGCAACCTTTACGTCACGGTGTCTTCAGCTGATGTCAAATACACCCCCTTGAACCTCAGTAGTAAACAATATGATGCTTTTTCAACTCCTACATCAATCACTAATAAAATAGCTACTTGGGGAGCCAAGGAGTTACACGGACGGTACCAATTAACATCGGGTTATCTCTACCCAGAAACCGAGGGATTCATAGTGGCTATGCAAGACCAAGTTATTCGAACACGCAACTACCGGAAACTCATCCTAAAGGAGAATATATCAGACAAGTGCCGTAGATGTGATTCTGTAAGTGAAAACATAGAACACATTTTATCAGGGTGCAGTAATCTGGCGAGTACAAAGTATCTGGAAAGACACAACAGAGTCGCATCAATCATCTACTTGGAGATCCTCAAACAATTCAACATTGACCGAGAAATCCAAGAGCCCTACTACAAATATCATCCACTACCCGTAGTCGAAAATAATAGTGTTGCGAGCCGGTGTGGACTCGACCTAACCTCACAATATGGCCCGCCCTCGGATGACCTTAACATCGCACAGACACCACAATGATTCATTCGTTCGAGAAGAATCGAGACCCACTAGAATGGACTCGTACATACGAGAACATTCGAAAACCTTCTCTATGCGCCTAACGATCTTTGGACTATTCTAGATTTCTTTTACCTGTCGGTATAAAAGCCGGCGGCAGTGGCCTAGAGAGGGCAGTTATAAATATACCAGTGCAGTTGACGCGCTAAAATTCAAAATAAATTCTTAGTTATAAATCGTTTGTAAATAGTTCTATAAGTCTTTTATCGTTATTGTTTTTGTTAATTAGTGTTAAATAAATAGTGTTTAAATAAATTGTGACTTTCTATCCACACGGAACCGACGAAAAACGTAACAATAGTTTCAAAATATACTGGGATAAAACAATCTTAACAAATAAAACCGTTAGAAGTAACAGACCGGACATCACGCTTATAAATAAAATTAAAAAAAACAGTTTTACTAATTGATATTTCTATTCCGAACAACAATATACAAAGCAAGTTTACTGAAAAAAAAAGCTCCCGTATAGAGCGTTTAACGCCTTGGGAGTAGCAAGGTACAGCTTGCCATGCTAGAGCCGTTCGGTATACAAGGAAGGTAATATATTGCTTAGTAATTATTGCTTAGAATTGAAGGAAGAATCGAAATATGCATTATATACAGGGGGTTGCATTTAAAAATAATAAATTTTGATGTGCCATAACTTTATGACCGACCCCGTATATTTAAAATTACTACTAGCTCGACTTTTGTATTTAACGTTTTGCTGTACCTTATATATTTTACCTAATAATCGACAGTTCCTAGCTCCTATACATCTACAGCGACCTTGTATAATAATACCATATGATCGAAAAAAAAACCGCGTCAGGGATGGATATGAAATGAAGATCGCTGTCATTTTATATGTAAAACTTTTTTCCAAGTCAACTGAACGCCACCTTTTTTTCGATCATACGGTATCTATACCTCTGTGGTATTATATTTTATTTCTTATTAATATAATACATGATCTAACTAAATGAAGTGTATAATCGATGAATTTTATTTAATCACACTGGTCACTTCTCCAATTGATTGATGAGGATTAGCATGCGAATTAGATTATTAAAACGATCTTCATCAAAGTGACTTTCTAAACATAGACAACCGTTGGTGTTAATGATTATTACAAATATTATAACAAAGAATTGAATCTCCAGTTGCTCTTGGTGAAAACATTCAGATATTACAATATTCTAAGTAATAAGTTCGTATTTTGTTTTATAATTTTTCATAATTTTACAAATATATTTTCACATGTTTTTTTTTTAATTTTTAATGTTATCTTCAGCGAGAGAATTGACAGAAGAACACTCTCTTTGGACATATTATAGATATAACGATTATTCAAATTGTTACCTTATTTTTATATTGTTTGTACAGGGTGGGTCAACGGCATCGGCTGTAATGCAAAAAAATTCTAGCTGTGAGCATCAATTAAAACGAAAATAATATTTGCTCTGAGAGATGCAGAGTTTTATAACAATTTAAAATATATTTAACCAACATCAACACATTTAAACTATATCTAATAACAATAAAAATAAATAGCAAACCAAGACATGAGATTTTGCTTCAGGTGTTCGACATATTAACCGTCTTCTGTTATGGACACACGGGGCAGTTTTTGAACAGTTCTCGCGGAATTCATTAACTCAGTAGGGGTGCAGTTATACCCAGCAGTTATACCCTCTCATAACTGCTAAGTATTTCTAATTCTTGTCTAGATTATACGGTAGAATAAGGAACCTTTGTTCTTCCACAAATATATCCATAGGATTAGATCCATGGGCACTAAATCAGGCGGCTTCGACGGCTGGGATCTTGATTAGCTATTCAATTATTCTTGAAATTGGCTGCAAAAATTTGCTGATAACTTCAGCGTTCAGAGGCGGTGCGTCGTCTTGCTGGAAAAATATGTTTTCGAGTTCCATTAAGGGCATATCATCAATAAGGGGTCCAAAGCCTACTAGTTAAAAGTGGCGAACTTTTAGAAATTCTATATTTCGAAGGGGA